AAAAGGAGAAAAGGGGGAGGGGGAAGAGGAAATCCTTAGTTATTGACCCGGTGAAAGTGTCTTAACTTCGGCGCAATTCATGTCTAAGCTGAAGTCTAAAGAATGTCAACACAAAAATAAATATTATACATATTAAACTAAGATTCTTTTCGAACTCGTCCTACCAGTTCGATATATTACTAAACTGAATCTAATTTTTGTTTAATTGTAAAACAACACCAGAGGCCGGCCGGTATAAACCGTACGTATTGGTAAAGCTTTAGTGCAACGAGCGAGCTCAATCTAAAAACCGTAGGTATAACATAGCAAATTAAACTCAAATCCTTAATCGATCGAGCGCAAGAAACACATAGCTAGTTGGTAACATTTTCTTGGGTGGTTTTTCAACTACCTACCCTGCATTCCTGTTGAGATAATCGATATTATGAGTTCTATCAACAAGTCGAATATAACTCTCTTACACCATTAAATGTTTACACACATTTGTCACTGTTATTATCTACACTTATAAGAGCACTAAACCCTTATCCAATATTCATCATGTAAAAAAAAAAATCATCACAGAAAATTGTAATAACAAGGATATATGTATGTATCTACACCGGCCGATCAACGTGGTGGTGGTGGTAGAGATGATGCCGCCACGAGGCGCTCTTCTTCGGTGAGAGCGTGGCGGAAGTGGCAGCGGTGACCGTACGGGCAAATATCTCCTGCGAGCACCATTCGGCAGACCTCGGTCTTGTATCGTGGGTGCCTGATTACCGGCCGCAGCTCCTTCACCCCGTGTGCGAACTGGCAGTTCTCACCGTAGGGGCACGTGCCAGTCTCTTGCCATTTGTTGCACAGCTCTGTTTTCATCATACCTTGGTTGTACACGTCGAATTCCAGAGCTTCTTCTTCCTTTTTCGCCCCTGGTACACAAACTCGTTGCTGCTTCGTATTACGCGACAAACCCCCAGAGCAGAGTGACACCACCACCATGGAGATAAAATTCGAACCACAATTAGGGCGAAACCGTAATAATATACCAAATTACAGATCATATCGAATCAGAGTTAATCTCTGCAGTTTGAAATCTTTGATATGTCAAAATACTTAGAATCTTAAAGAGAAAAATTGATCAATCAATACTTAATTCTTAAATGTTGAAATTTAGACATCATGCACTTCTAGATCGATCCATTAATAAGCAATTAAGCATATGAATGGAGATCATCAAAATGAATGCAGATCATCAAATTGTAGTAACACTGTAACGTAACAGATATGACTGTATCTTATACAATTTTTCATGTGGAAAATAAAAAAGGGATAATACAATCCAACAAATCGAGTTCATTGGCGATGTGAAATTGGGAATTAGAGCTACTAATTATATAGTTTTGCTAAAGTAAAAACAATAATTCAAAACCGTTCAGGTTTAATAATACAGATTAGGATGGAGTTGACTCACCAAATCAGGGCAGGGTTGACTCACTGTTTTCTGGCGAGTCATCTTCAGGTAACCTCTGGAACGCACGGAAATGCTCTTCGGAAGTGAGACTCGCTCAGTACTCCTAGGCTCGAGGCGGTTGTTTTCACTCAGAGGTAGAGGCGGCGGTTGAATTCGGAGATTGTTTTCACTCAGAGGTCGAGGCGGCGGCGGCGCCGCCACATGAACGGGAATCGGAGGAGCGGCGGCGGCGGAGGGGGAGGCGATGCTAAGGCGGTTGAATTCGGAGAGGAGTCGGTCGCGTGTGAAGAGCAAGGCCACGCGGCGAGAGAGATCCGCGTTGGAGAGGCGTAGAGACTCGTTCTCGAGGCGGAGATCTTCAACCTCGTCGACTGAATCGTGGAGCTGCGAGAGGCAGAGCGCGTAGCGGTTGTAGAGCTGCTGGTACTCGAGGACGGAGCTGGCGTCATGGAGGCTGCGCTCGGTGTCGCCGCCGTCGAAGGAGGCGGCGTCGGAGATAGAATTGGGGGAGTAGTTCTGGAAGAGCGGGGAGTAGTAGGAGGAATTGGTGCCCAGGCAATTAACCGGCGGAATTGGAGAGAGAAACGGATTATTGCTCGAAGAGAAGCGCGGCGGCGCAACACCGCCTGCGGCGGAGGTGGCGGTGATGAGAGGATTGAATGAGATATTCTCCTTCTGCATTTCACCGGAGAATTTCTGCACAACAATATTTTCAACTGCTCAGATTATTAGTTACAGAAATCAGTAACTCAGAAATTTCTAGAGAGATCGGAGAGGGAGGTAATTGAGATTTGAGACTGAAACAACAGGCGCGAGAATATAAAGCATCAGAAGAAAAGATACGGTGTGCGAAGGTCTACGATAGTCAAGAGGTGAAGAGTTAGCCAATCAG